TTACTTTAAATCTGGAGTTACATTAAATCAGATTGTCATCCGATTCCTTTGGGGTAGGTAAATTGTAACATGGAGTTTCTCAAAGATGAAAACCTCTTGGCCCAAGAAAACTAGTATTAAAATAGGCAGTTCCACATGTTTGTAATTTGTGGAGAAAGTGCAGACGGTGACAGAATAGTGTCTGAACTATTTCCCACTCTTTTTTAAATTTGTGTATAGCAAATTGATACACTTCAAGGTAGCAGCTGTTTAACACTAAGGCCAAATTATAAAATAGTCTGGTAAAATTAGAATGTATCTTACATACTTTATATTACTAAACTATGTTTGGGATCACAGATTAATTTCAACCTCAGTTATGCTACCCAATGTAATTACAGATTTAATTTTGTGATAAACGAAACTTACAGCAAGTTCTGCAAATTAGGGATAGCTTACAATATCCACATACCTAAACTGAACCTTCACTGCAGATATGTGCCAACACTGAAATTTTTGACAGCTGCTAGGCTGTAAAAGCTTTTACAAATAAGTGAAGACACTGTGACACCTGTCATATCACCTGACATTTTAATTATTCTTAAAACAAATTACTGTATTCTCTGACTGTAAAATGAAAGCTGAAGCACTGTATCTTGGAAAATATCTAGTATTGGGATGCCTACTTTGTATCTTAGTAAAACTGGTGGCACATATATTGACACCACTCACATCACTGTCATAGTTGAAGTTGTAACTTTGCCTTTTATAAATACATAAACAAAACCTCATTCAATGAGTTTTCTGAAAAGGAGTGTGCTTTCTGAAGTTGTATCTGTCAGAAATTCAAGGTGCAATTAGATCCTCATTGCTCTGAAAGCTACATACAACAAGCACTTACAGAACCAACAATTTTGCAGAAAAGTAGGAAAACAACTTGATCAAAACCTGTGGAAATTTTTAACATATTACACTAATTATACTGGCATCTCTTCCTTGTAGATTGTTGCTAACAGGAATAAAAATAAAGTTAAATGAAGATTTACAACTGAAGACTGCATTACTTTGCTGTTCTTTAAGCTGGTGGAGAACAGGTTTAGATGCTTAGAACCATCATTTCTTTCAATGTATCCTCACACTTTCTAAGAGAAAAATATGATACGTGATCAACATGCTGGAGATTCAGGGCTGAAAACTCTCCAACCTCCATTCCTTTTCCATAACAAAAATGCATTAATATGTTAAATGTTAAAATGCTTAACTATATCAAATTTATTTTATGTCCCTTAAAAGCCTACTGTAATACACCAAACATATTTATCAGTGCTTTAATGAAAGAGTGATCTTGATCAAGTGACCCCAAACAGGTATGATGAGGCTTGTTCAAAAATATTCATACCTTCACTATGCCAACCACTATGAAATCTGTACCAGCCCTCAAAACATATCTGGCCAGGCTGAACATTGCAGGGATAAATGTACTTATGCCATGTTTTCTTTCTGTCTGTCTGTTCTCTTTACTTGACAAAACATTGCAGGCAAGAATCTTCAGCTAACTTGGGCTCCTATATCATATAAATAAACAAGTTAATCTAACATTTCACCTCTTACCAATACAGTTGTGAGAGCTCAGTTCACAGATTCCAGTTGCATCTCAACTCTTAAGTAAAGATGCAACTGGAATACAGACTGCACACTGTAGGGGAAAAGAATGCAGCTTCATCAATAATAACTGGAATGTCATTCAAAGATTCAACTTCCTTGCTCTGTATGTACTTTGTACAGGTTTACTCTAGTGTCAGCTATATGTTCTTACCCGAAAGAGAGAGAAAAAGGGATGGGAGGTGAAGGAGTGGAGGAAGTGGTCTTTATAATATGTCTCCTGATGCTTGGAACAGAAAGCTAAGATACATGATTCAAGGGAGATTGTCAACACAGAGTGGATATAAATGGGCTACAATGCTTTAAATGCTTTTTCATACTTTAATGAGAATGGATTTTTTTCCTTTTAGGTGAGTGGTTCCCACACTGTGGTCCAGATAATAATGATAAGTGGTCTAGAGCCAAAGTATGAAATTAATACTGTGTTTACAGCACTGTTTCCGCCCCAGAAAAAGAAGGGGGAGGGGGCAAGAGTGACAATGTTTCACTGAGAAAATGTGTAAACCAGACACCAGATAGCTTTTTTTTCTTTCTTTCCTTTTTAAGACTAATTGGATTTTCTGGAAGTCTGGTTCTTTGGAAGCCTCTTACATTCCCTGCACACTACGGATAAGAATCTCTGCAACCCATCCCTGAATGTGAAAGAGCATTTTCATTTGCTACCCGTAATCCCTTTGAATATTCAGCACCAACACCATTAAGAAGCACTCATTTCCCAGGCTGCTATAAGCCCTAAGGCTGAAGCTGTTTCCTGCAGCCTACCAAAAATATCCTTATGCTTCATTCCCTGAAGATGCTCCCAGGTTTCTTCTTACCTAGACAGGCTGTGCATGGGAACAGGATAGGCTCTGGCTGTAGCCCAGCTGCCTGAGGCAGGAGGCTGCTGCGGGTGGCAAACACAACACTCACTTGTGGAAAACCTTGGAAAGCCAGGCTGGCTGCTGCTGCAGCTGGGCAAGGCATCGGGATGAGCTGGGCTGAGTCTGTGCTGGCACCAGGGAACCCACTCAACTCTGCCCAAAAAAGAGGGTCTGGTCTCTCCCCATGTCCAGCCCTGATCCATCTGCCCCAAGTTTGTGTAATTTAACCCTATTTATTGTGCTGAGAAGCTGGTTTGGCCTTTAGCTTTCTACACATTAAGTGCAAGTGATAAGGATAGCTAATCTAGACTTTCTTTTCCTATTTCTTTGTTTCGTTGGAGATAAAACACCGTTAAAAGAAAGACATTCAGTGTGTTTAAGTGGACATTCAGCATGTTTAAGTGTTATCCTCAGAGTAGAACGATTCCATTTGAAAACATCTGAGTCTTCCTGAAAGAAAGCAGTTCTTCAATAAATATTTCAAGACAAATATAGACTGGGGTACTGATCCTGTGAAAGCAATTTTTTTGGAGTTATTGAAACAGCTGCTTTCCTCATGAGATTAAAAGCTCCAGTCAAACATCTCAAAGGAATTTCTTATCTCTGCTTCTAAGAACTGCCTTTATTTGCTACAAGTGATGTCAGATGAACCTAGCAAGATGCAGTTAGCAAGATCTTGGAGGTGTGTCTGTGCATGTTGTAGAGGGATGTTTTTGTTAGGGGTCTGACCTTCCAAGGAAAGAACATTAACTAGCACACCTATATAAATTACTAGGATAAAAGTAATATTTAATTATTGCCTCAAACCTTGGATGTGTTATTCAATTTATATGCAAAATAAAGCACAAAGTTATTCCATAAATAAAAATAAATAAATAATCCAGCCTGCTAGATATTGTATCAAAGCACATTCTGAATAACAAAATATTAAGTTGTACTAGGTTATTTTGAACCACTGAGCACTGTTTGTAAAATCTGAGCATCATCTGGGTGGCATTCAAAGGTTTTGATCAATTAAATTAAAATGAATCTGACATTAAGTAACATATGGGTGTATGGTAATCTGCATTTTCATCAGTTGCAGAGAGATGGAAAGGCTAACAGTAGGATTAATTCCAGGCAGGACATCTGGACAATACATTTGAATCTTTAGGTTTGCAGCTAGAACTTGCACAGATCTCATATGACTCATTAAATGTACCCACAATAAAGGGCTCATTTAGGAAACTGCATCACAGCCTACAAATAAGGGACTTCAAATTATTAGAAATAATTCCTGTCATTCCACATAGTAACCAAGTGGTATTTAGATAACTATGGTGGAGAATATCAAGTCTATTAAGGAAGCAGCTCATGAAGAATAACTTTTGTAGTACATAGGTGTATAGGTAGGTAAAATGCAAAGAACTCTTGTGAATAATATGGAGTAAAGATCAGCATAACAAGATCAAATTCATTTTGTCTTGGTATTCATGACAAGACCCAGAACTGACCCACTTCGATGTGTGTTTTTAGAGCTGTGATTTCTACTTCCTGTGATGATTCGAGCAAAAATGAACTACCACACTGGATGTTAAGCCCAATTCAATGTTAAGATGAAACTCTTCTCATTTGTCTTTAATAAAAATAGAGAACTATTTAAAGAAAGATGCATGACTACTGCCTCATCCAGCCACAAGCAAGACCTAGTACAGGTGGACAAATCACTTTAAGAAGAGAGGAAGAACTCTTAGCAAGGAAGAAGTTCTATAACACAAGTGGCTTATTTTCAGCATCCTTTCCCTCTACAGGAGTCACAGGACTTGTCAACTATCTTATTTCATGGTTCTACATGGCATAAACAACCTTACCTTATCCTCCCAAAAAGTGTACTAGCATAATGCCTGAATAGAGAAACTGCATTTGGATGTCAATAAACTAAACTTCAAGCTGCAGATTCATCCTGCAATCTCTCTTCAAATACAATTTTCACTGAAATCACTGTACTTTTTACCTGAAAAATTCCAATAGGATGTAACTAATTTGAACATTTTCACAGAGTATTCTTGAATGAATGCATTGTTACATTGACAGACCTGTTTGGAGTGCTAAATTCTTTTATTCCTATAGTATTACATTTGTTTTCACTTGTTTTGAGATTTTGTTTCAACTTTAGTGTCAGTTTGAGTTAAGAATGCAATCTCTTCCTTGGTAATTTTTTGCAACTGAATGATAGTTCAATTTAGGCAGCTGAAATATTTTAGCTAAAATAATTGCCAAACTTTATTAACAGTATATTTTCAGTTATTTCTATAATTTGCCATTAAATTTATTCAACCAATTTGACTAAGAGGTTATTTCTTTTTCTTCCTACAGAGTCACATAAAACTTCTTTGAAACAGCATGAGGAAAATAATTAATAAATTCTAATAATGGAATGCAGTGTACTAGAAAAATATCATTCTAGCACATTGTTACCCACTGCATCCTCTCTGCAGTTTTGTTACTTTCATTCCTTACCTCTTTGTTGGCTCTGTCTGCTTGAACTAATGTTCCATTCAGACATGGCTCTACATAGTGGAGTTCTTCATTATACTATAGAGAGAAATACAAAGTATGATGAAAAATTTAATTAAAACCTTGGAAGATACAATTCAATTTAATGATTTAGAACTACAATGAAGCATGCACAGAAAGCAAGAACTAAAGGATTTCATTCATTTTAAAAATTGACTGTGGGGTTTTTTTTCTTTTTACATGATTCCTAATATTTCAGAAGTTTATACTTCCAAAGAATCATTTAATTGCATGGATGCCAACACTCAGGTGGAGTTAAGGGTACTAAATATAGAAACTGGCAAAAATATCTTTCAGGTTGAAATCTGGATAGTATTAAGAGGTCATGTTTGATATATCACAATCACAACTCCCAGTTCTTGGCTACATATAAAAAAAGGTCCTGACAAATATTTGTGGCAATGGCTAACATTTTGAAATGCTAATGAGTAACTACACCAAAAAAAATCTGTAAGCTTGAATCAATGGTGGAAACATTTGGCAATTGTCAGAACTTCAGTCAAGCTGAGTGGCTTATTACACACTGTGTCAAGACGATGTGACAGATCTTGAAGGAATTATCTGTCTAAGCAAGTTAGATAGCCCAGTGCTACTTTCAGAAGCATCTTAAGCATTAAAAAAACTGAAGTCTCATCTGTAATCAGTAGATCTTTCAGATTCAATACTTGATAAAAATTTGGATTTGATTGTTTAAATCTTTTAAACCTTTCAACACAGATAAAAATTAATAAAGCAGTACCTTCAAAGAGTCTACATAAAGTTGTCTAGTTAACTTAATTCCTCCTCCCATTAATTTAATCTACTTTAGAAGTTTTCACAGATTAAACTGTAAGGCTTCTGCATCTAGGCTTTAAGTAGATTTACCTTTTCATAAGGCATTAAGTGAATCAGAATACCCATAGTAAACAACAAAAGGTGACATGTTACTTCAAAAAAAACAATCAGGGAAAATATTTTGTTACATTAATATATGCATTTACTCCCTTCTTCCTCCATCTCAGTAGGAATAAAAAAAAGCTTTGCAATGAATGACTTGTTACTGAATGCTGCTTAGCCAGAAGTCTCTATTACTGCAGGTTTTCACTGTCTCTGTCTGCCTGTAACTCTGAATTTGTTCTACTCTCTCCAATTTAACACCACTTCTTTCTCTGCACCATAGGTCCCTGCAACCTGATCCACTTTGGACACCTGTCGTCACCATTCATTTTAACAGTGCACCACTCACCACACTCATCATTACATAATTACTCTTGCATAGGGAAGAGTATTTAATTTGAACTGCATGAAGTTATTCTTGAGGCACTGTGCCAGACTCAGTCCTCATCTATAAGGGAATATAAACCCAGAGTAATTTACTATTGCTGGATATTCAGCAATAGTAAAATCAGCGTCAACATAGTAACTGGTTGTACAGAAACAAACGAAAATGCTTGGAAGGTATTTACACACAATTTCTGCAGCAGATTTGTATGCTTCCCTAATTATTTTATTCCCAGCAATGTTATTTCAATACATGAGAGCCTGTGGACTTATCTATTTTTTCAAAGGTAATATGAAATACAAGGCAAAGGCTTTTAGAACACTTTAGAGTCACTGAGTGTCCCGTGTGCATCTCAGTCTCATAACAGTTTATTGATCTGATAAACGATGTACTTTCCCCTGTAGTTTCTCTGTTCAGACTGCCTTCCAATCTGTCTCCTGAGAGTCATTGCAAAATAATCATGCCAAACTACACAGCATCTCTTATAATAGTTCAAAGTCAAGACCATATTCGATTCCATTGCAAAAAAATCTAACTGAAAATCTGTAACAGACTCTGGTACACCAGCCCCTAACTCCCAAGACATTTCCTGTCTTCACACAGGTTTTTTTCTCAGCATGTTCTTTAATCAAGATACTTTCCAGTTAAGCCTGTTCTTAGCTTGATTTCTGTAGATGCCATTGGAAACTACAAGAACATACATAGTTTTCTTTAAATGATAAGAAAACACAGTGTGTGCAATAGGCCAACACAAAATAAAATGCTAAAGGCTATCTTTCCCTCAGTTGCTATCTGTCCAAGTCATCTGCATGCAAGCAAACTCAAGATTTCCTAATGATGTGGTACTGTCACTATTTTTTTTATCTTTTTCTTATGAAATCACCACCAGCAAACAGATGAAACAATTTCCTATTCTATCAGGCCTTGCATCTAAGTAGCATAATTTCTGTCCACTAGATATCTGTAAGATTTGCTTTAACTACCATTTTGAGTAACTATTCCCCCAGAGTTGTAGCTTGCATGGCTGGTAGCTGCACCACAACCCAGAGAGATTCCCAGTCCTTTACCACACCTTTAGTGCTCACCAGCTGTGCAGTATAAAGGATGCTCATACTTTCACAGAGTGTGAATATGTAAAGGAGTATTTTATGTAACAGAGTTCTATGGATAATGAGCATCACTTAAAAGTGTTCTCTTTCTTGTGTGTCTACTGTACAGATACAAATGAAAGCACAGTAAGAAAAACCTTTATAGAAAAAGATATAGAACCTTCTGATGGTTTGAATTCTTGCAAGAGTGCATTTTAATGTTCTATTTTAATTTTCAGTTCTTTGCTAATTAAATAAATTTTCTAATCATTTCTTAAAATCTCAAATAAAAAGAGATGGATAAATCTACTGAAAAAAAATTATTTCAGTTCCTAAAAAAATCCCAAAAGAGTAGGTATCTGCCTAAGTCCATGAAAACTGTCGAATTCTGATGCAACATGGGAAAGAATTCAAGCAGAACTTGCTGCTTAAACTAGCACATCCACTTGATAAGATCTTCTGTCAGCTTCTAGTAAATACCTACCTTGTGTTTCACAGCATATATTCGATTCCTTGCCCTTGTCATAGGTGCTTTAGTTATATTGGTGATGCCTTTCTTTTAACTGTGCCAAATCTTTAAAGTGCAAAAAGGGAAGAAATTCTTCCCCCTTCCTCTTCCCCACTAACTCACCAGCAATCTGAACTTAGTTCTGCAGTTTTCCTATGACATTTAAAATTTTATATTCCATGAAATAGCATCCTGATCTTGTATCAAAAGGCCGATTAGCAATTGCTGACTTCACCAGCAATACCCCACATAGATGTCTTGTTAATCTACCTCAGTGAAAGGCTGCAGTTGAGCTTTTCAAGGATCTTGCATCACACTGTTTTCTTATATTTCCCAGTTCTGCATAGACCCATTCCCCTGTACTCTGGCATGTGATATCTTTGCATGTGATAGTTGAGAAAGCTAATACCTGCACAGTAGTTGGGAATACCTTATGTTTTGCTGAGAGAGAGAGGTAAAAATGAGTTATTTTCCTCTCTGAGCTCCTCTTCTAAAACCTCGATCTACTTTCATCTCTCTTGTAATTTAAACATGTTGATTACATTTATATTTATTATTTTATTTACTTAGTTATATTTCTCTGTTTTATTAGTTAACATTATTTTCTCACTCTACTTATTTCTTTGCACAACAGGCACAAAAAAACTGAGTGGGCTCAAATCTGAACTAAGAGAAACCATATAGCTAGTTCGACAGCTGCTGGCCTATATTCTATAATAAGATACTATTAATATTCTGAAAATGAGTTATATATGGTTCTAGCACACCTGCACAAGAGGTATACATTTTCCTTAGCATTTTTATATTTATCCATTGTCATATTTAAGCTGTCTGCAGCAAGGTCCAGAGAAATGCATTCAATTCACATTTTGTTGTGTAACAATACACAGACAAAAGATTTCATGCTATATTAAGCATACTCAGATATCCAAAACAGACCAAGCTAAGATCCAAGAGTGAAGTCAATCCAGAAAAGGAGCCAAAGGAACTGGTATTTCCACTAGTGTTACCACATCAACAAGTGGCACACAAGCACAGCCCATTGCTTGGAGCAGTCATACAGAGCTTAGCTTTGGGTGCCTTTCTCTCTGTCAGCCTGCTCACACATTAGCTGTGCAGAATCTGATTATTCAAGCAGGATGAAAAGTAAGTTTAAGCATAGTCTATTCTGTAGGACTCCAACAAAGAGGCTACACTGAAACCATTTACAACAGAAAATTCTACATATTAAAACAGGGAATTATACTACTGTGCGTTGAATTAACAAATACTTTTATTCTAATCAGTTTTGTTAAAATGGTGTGACTAAAGCAGTAAAATTAATTTAACATTCTTGGCTCAGTTAATATTTTGTTAATTTAATGTAGAGTTAACATTTTTATAAAAGCATTTTAAAAATTTCAGCATTCCTCAAAATTAGTCTTTGTTTTATCATAATATTGTTAATTTAATGCTTGACTTGGAATTATACTTCAAAGCGAATTGGAAAAATATGCCTTTTCTCTTGTTGTAGGCATCTCTGTTCATGCACCAGTGAACTGACCTTAAATTTTAACATAGACAGCACAAAATTGCTCTTGTATTTCAATAAATTTCTGCAATTCAATCATCTAGTCCATCAATTTCAGATGGATTTTGCAACGACTTACCCAGGAAGGCTAAAATCATCTTTAACATTATCCTTTTGTGTTTATTCTCTGGTAAGACCTGCACTGAATTCTGCTTTCTCCTATATATACATTTATATATGCATAGAACACATATATACAAACACATACAAATATTTGTTCCATTAATCACGGTGCATAATAAAGGCATCCTGGTAGTCACAGTCACTCAGGCTCAAAATTTTTGCTTCATTTAATAAGTACATTGTTTGTCCAGATTTCCCCTACTAATAACATTCTTCTTCCATCTCAAACTTTGATCTGGGGAGAGAAAGAGGTACTTTGCCTTTTGTCTCAGACTTCCAGATGTGCAGCAATCCTCACAGAGCAACGATTTGGACAGAAGTTCAGAGCAATCAGTCTGAGCAAGTATCAGCTGTGTGCTATGTGAAGAGTAAGTCTTCACCATCTCGGCCCAGCAGATCTATTTTTGCACACACTGCACAGCTGTCGAGTTCTTGATACAGAGGCTTGTTGTATGAGCACAGATCTCTGTTACAAAGGGCATGTCTTACACAGACATATGTGTATCTTTCCTTCAAATGAAACCGCTGTCACATCACCAGGCTATGTCTAAATTATAAAGAGCAAGATATAATCTCACTCAAACATTTGTCTATAGATAAAAGCTGTATGGAATTTTCATTGCTTTCACACCAAGCAGCCTCTTGTGTGGCCTTTGTTGTCTCGGGTTTTGATTGCTGAAACATCTTCCCCAGGCTTGACAAGGTTCATTTGCCCTGCTGGCACTTGGTCAAAGCAATGCTCAGATGTAATTTTTGCTGATAATGTACATCACAGTAACTCTTGGCTTCACTGTATATCCTCACTATGTCCTTAACACACCACATTTTAAAAGGAGTTTGTGACCCCATGTCAGCCTACCTGTGCCACTGCTCCTGTAAAGGTCCACTCCCTTCTCCACAGCAGTGATCCCTCTTGCTACTTTGTTACAGTTTCAAGCAAAGAAATTTTGTGGTTTCTTTACATTGTTATTTGTTTGTCTGGTGAGACACCAAAGCTTTTATTGTGGCACTTCATCCAAAACAACTCCTTACAAACTCTTCCTGCAGAGCTCCAAGGTGACAGGACAGTGCTTTTTACTCCTGCACTGTCACTCCTGTCACACTCCCTTGTTCTCCCAGTGTTTCTGTGGTACTTCTTTCAATGCAGGGAATAATTCCAGGTTCATATTTGCACAATCCCTAACCATCAAAGTCCTAACAAAATTAAACAGCTGAGCTGGTAATCATAAAAACACATTCTCAGTTGCTATTTCTACTTATTTGAACAAACACATATCCATCGTAAAAGAAGTTATAGAGAGGACAGAACCTATGGAGTAAAAAAAATTACTTCAGACAAATGCTGTAATTACCACAGTAATTACATTTCTTTCTAAAATTCAGAATTTCTGATCCTAAGCAAGCACAGCAGTTTCATTAAACTTGAAATTAGAAAAAAAACGACATTTAGTTATTTCATACTTGCAGGGTTTTTTTCAAGTATTAACACAGCATTTCTGCTGTACTACTTATTTGGGCAAAATCATTAGTTTGGATCACAGCTACACACAGTTTTACATTTTGTCTTATAGATGAGAATTTTTGGTTTTCCCAAAGTAAAAAAGCTTCACTTAAAAACCCCACATTTCTTTTTTCTTCTTACATCATTCACAGTAACTGTCACAACTACTGATAAACACTGAGATTATGCACAAAAAGATGGCTGGTCAAGCATCTTAATAATTTCTTAGTTAAAACATCCTTTCAACTTACAGAAGTTACATAGATTAGAGTTAATCACAGTTTTTTTTGAAGGACAGTAAATTTTTTTTTATATGGTATGCACTTATATCTTTCTACTACACTAGTTTCTGCTAATTATGCAATTATCATGCAAGGAGATTAATAGGAAAGATATCCTGAACTGCCTGCTCTCTGTTAAAAATACAGTAAATGCACATATACTTCATGCATAAATACTCTGTTCTCCGTACAATCTAAATGATTTGCACTGGGGTCACTGGGGTCATTTATTTTAGTATAGAAAGGACACTTGCCTTTGAGAAAAAAAGAAAATAAAAAGCCCCAAATCCTCCTTAATTCTTACATATTAACCACTTTGCAATTTGCACTGTGTTGTAGAAGCTGAAGGAAGAGGGAAGGCAGGGAAACACGTGGATACAACCAAAACTTAAAAATTAAGTTAATGTAGATAGTTCAAGCAAACTAAAAATATCCCTTATTACTATTCTTTGCAACTCCCAAACTCAAGACAACTTATTTTAGGGGTTTCAAATTGCAAGTCATGGACAAACAGTATGAAAACTCTGTCAGCTGAAGAATCTTGCACTGAAAAAACATTGTCCAGTGGGTTCAGATGTCATTTTATCCATCACCTATCTGCAACATATTTCAAGTGTCTTGTGTGATGTAAAACATGACAGCGGGAAATGATGGAAGAAAATTTTAAAAAAAAAAACAAGATAAAGCTATCCTGAGACACTCACAGCAATTATATTGAAGAAGTCATCATCTCCAAGGGTATCCAAAATAGATGAAACTGTCTGTTTTGCAATAGTCAAGCGAAGCCCTTTCATACTTCCACTGACATCCACTAAAATTACCACATCTTTTGGAGAAGTTGCTGCCTGAATGTACCTAAGACAAAAGACAAAACAACTTCTTTTAAATACTGAACTTTGCATCCTTTCAAATTTCTTAAACACTGGTAGCCATCTATTGCCTACCATTTCCTGTTTCTGCAGTCAAATGCAATGACTCCGTTCTCATCAGGTTCCCATTTAATTCCTGTCAAAAAAAGAAAAACAAAAGAGAGAGAATAAAAGATTAAATTACATTTTCACAGTACCTGCTCAAAATATATCTGTGGTATTGGGGATAAGCTGCAGTTAATGGAGTTTCATACTTCAGTCTAACAGGCAGTGCCATTATAACATAGAAAATACTGGAAAAAATAAAATTAATAAAATAGGGCCACCAGAAATACAGGTACTTTCCTAATTCTCTTTTAGTATACTGTAAGGTGAAATCCTCTTCAGGCCCACTATGCTCACTGCACTATTTTCACAAAAGTATTGTCATACTTAGTCTTTGGTGTTTGCCAAGACCCTCCCAAACCTTGAGCACTTACTACCCATAGTGATCTCAACAGCTCCTGTTACACTAACTGCTTCATTCATAAGGTCATAACTCCTGTTGTTTCACTCACATCACTTTGAAGGGGTAATATCTCCCAGTAGTGGGTCAAAAGCAATGTGATTAAAACTTCTCCAAGGAAAAAAAACCTGACAGGGCAATTCTTCCTGCTTTTTACACTCATTTTCTAGCGCAAAACGAGAAACAGCCTTTAAAATAAGGACTAATATTTGAAATATCATGGAGCTTGGAAACTGAAATTTAATCTAAAACTAACACAGATGTAGCAGCCATTACTTTCAATCCCTTTCAGTCATACAGGCTGAGAGTAAACTTGCTCACATTAAACTCAAGACTTAAAAAAAAAATGGATTGCTAAACCATGTCAGCTAAAGGAACAGATCCTGCTATGGGCCTGATCCAAAGCTGTGAATCAGTTTATTTAACTAATGTGGTAAATTTGGTATGGGATTAAACATAAAACTTAATAGGCAACAACATGTGTTTTAATAGAAATAATACAAGTGATTTAATTGCATTTTATTACAACTGGTGTGAAAATAAACTTTACAATAAGTTTTTAAAATCTTTAAATGTATATATGTCAGGTTAAGTGCAAGTCTAAAACCTGAACAAGAAATTATAAATAAGTCTTACTGTATGCATCTATACAGCACATTATTAAGTTTCATAACCATATGAAGCATTTAATCCTTTTGCCCTCCTTCTCCACAGTCTGTATCAAAGTTATTTTTCATATGTCTGTATATGTCTATCTGAATAGGAATATTTATGAGGACATGAGTTATCATGAGGGCTTCACCTCCAAATGAAAATTGGTAGAAAAACCTCAGAAAGCTGAATATGTTGATTAGAAATCTCTCTCTCTCTGAAAACTAGATGAAGTAAAACCAAAATTGCAAGTATCTGTTGAAGTCAGGATTTGTGATTATACTCCATAGAAATCTGCAGCCTTAGTATTCTTTATTGTATTTTAAGTAAGACCTTCTGTTTTTCTTACCTGGATATTGCCTGAAAAATCCCTTTGCACTTCCAAAGTATTGCCAGATGAGAGAAGGGTCACGATCAAAATTATCAACAAACACCTTATTTAAAGATTCTGACCAATAAACTCCATTTACAATGGCTGGATCTGAAAAAAAACCAGACCATACACACAAAGAAATGTGATTTTATCCTTATCCTTAAACTCTATCATTTTCAGCTTATTCAAAACCCTAAAATCTACTGACTGTAAATTATTGAAGAGCATAATTGAATTTCCTTTGTAAAATAAATGATTCTAAATAAATGATACACTTAAATAATAGCAGTATGGTTATAATAGAGCAGAGACATCAGGGACATAATTTAGATAAGTTAAAATTGCTCGTTAGACCATCTATCTTGAACTACTGTATTGCTTGTTCTGAAGAACATAATTAAGTCAATCTAATAATAGATTATTTACTCAATTTACCTTCCCTAAATGTATGGAATGCCTCATTGCAACACTTTTTTTTTTCCTTACCTTCAAATTGGTAAGATAACTTTCACTAAATCTGAAAGCTTCCATGTTGGAACAGAAAGTGAGATACATTTTATTTCACACTTGAATTATGATATACATACACACACAAAATCTCATGACAAATAACACTAACTAATATTTGGAAAACACTGAACCCACATTTCACAACAACTACCCAATTAGTTTTTATTCCCATAGAAACAGAACTACAAAGCAAATCCTTGATGTTGAAACTGTTCTGTTTAAAACATCAATCTTCCCAAAACATCAGGCTTCCCAAGTATGTTTTTAAGCTGCAGATTTGGTTCAATAGCAGGAAATGAGAAATCAATGAACGGATCTTAAAACGTTACTGAATTTCAAACCGTGAATTTTGAAAGATGAGAAACAATTAAGGTACACTGTATTCCCAATTCAATCTGTATGTGAAGTCAGCAGAATAGAAAGGAAAAAACAACTGAAGTCACAGATGTATTATTCAATTTGCAAAAGTGTGCATACACGAATACACAGTAACATTTGCTCGAGCATTTGAAATAAAGCCTCCATTAGCTTGCAAATACTGTCACTGTCTTGATTTCAGACGACTGCCTAGAATGTGATTTTAATGGAGTGGAAAGAAGGTGAATTGTTTTCTTCCCTTGCATTTATCAAGAAATCCAGCCAAAAAAAAAAGGGAAACGTCTCAGCTACAGGACTTTGAATGTTGCTTTCTTCTAAATATTTAGGTTCATGTAAAAGGACTACTGAAAAAGCAAGGTCAACAAAACAGATGCTGTTTTTAAAAATGTGGAGTATAGATACTTGCTTCTCTACAGGATGAAATACACAGTTAAAATCTGTCCAACCAGACACATATCAAACAAACCAATGTCACTAGTCCAAGGGTACTACTTCAATTTTGCCTAGATGGCAAAATCTATTGTCCAGTTGTTTCCCAGTCTGCAGTTACTCTAATAACAAGCTGGGTCCAAGATATCACAAATTAACTGTCAAGACCACCTATCCCAGGATCTGTCATTGGATTGTAAAACTATGTTCCTATTTCAGGACTCCAAAATATCAATTCATTGTTCAGCATTTAGACATTACCTGGAAAGAGAAGCACTAAAATGAGAATCCTATCCTCAGTCCACTGAAACTTCCCAGGACTAGTTCAAGCACTGATAATCTGATTTTGCTCCTATAGACAAGTTCTGGTGGAATATCTAAATCACTAGTAATTGCAGTGGCATTACTGACTCAGCACTACAATACTGAGATAAGGTGAGATGCCTATTCCTAATGAACCTGTGCCACTCATGTAAGCAGAACCCTCACTCTGCCTCCCAACCCAATGATGATTTTCTTTGAATTCTATATACACTTCAGCTCCATAAGGTCATGGAACAACTTAAATCACCACTTCTTAAGCTTTAAACTGAATGTGAAGTTTGAAAAAATAAAATTTTTTTAAAATCATATTAAAATATCCATGGATATTTTGGGTAATATTTTTAGCCCATCTGTGCATATCCACTTAACATATTTATACATCTGTACAACAGATTAGAGAACTCCATGAAAATAAAATCAGGAAATTTTCCTTGAGCATGACTGGTGGAGTCTATATTTTGCATTAGGCTGACAACAGTGATCATCCAAGTGCTGATCACTATAAACATTAATCCAGTGACTCAGAAACTGATAGGAATTAGTTTAGCTGAAAAGAGCATAAAGAAGGCATTTTAAATAGAAGGGCACCATTCAAATGTGACCTATGCTGACTGGGTTCCTTCCAAATGAAAGCTGGTGGCAATTTGTTTCCTTCCCACACCCTGCATCTCTGTTCGCTGGCTGTTCTTCTTACAATATCAAGTTACATTTTATGCATCAACCATTTTTATAAAGAAAAAAAATGGCCACAAACAGGTCAATCCTTAGAATACAAAGAAAAGGGAAGTGTGGAATAAATGTACCCACAGTATAAAACAGCAGGTCCATATGGAAATTGTGTCTTTACTGGCTACTGCACCTTCAGGCATGAGGATTTCAAACTGGAGCTCCTTGTTCTAAATCTGATAAGGCTGTTATGTGGATGCATCTCTGTCCACATGCACCATCCTAAATACAACTGAGCTGCTGACCATATGTCCTCATTAAAATTTTATAGTCTCATCATCTAATAACCTATATGTTAAACTTGTATTTCTGGCAATTTCCAATTTTAGCAATTATAAGAAATTGTTTAAATTGCCCCCAGTACTGCATTTAGAAACAGTGTCCTTAAGTTTTTTAACTATTGGTGAATGTCATCTGCATCCCCAAGATAGTTATATGTCAGTAGTTATAAATGAATGCTTGTGAATATTCAGAAATTTAGGAAGGGAGGAAAGAAAAATATAAGGCTTAATATAAATGCAAAATCATTAATGTGATGTTATGGGGCTCAAAGACAATAAATATAAATATCTTCTACCACAATTCTTGAAATATCAACTCTGCTTTTGCTTCCTGGCAGTAACAGCTAAAATATAATTGAAACACTCCCTTTCCCTCACCTCTCAGATGAGCTGGCTTGCAATTATATGGGATTTTGCTCCACCACTGTTTGTGTAGATGTTACCTGCTTTTTACTGATATTTAATATAAAACCAACCCCCAGGCAAGCAGGTACAGTGACATGAAATTGAAACAAAATTGCCAAAGAACAGTACAAATGCATGTAGCAATTAAGCTGCTGTCATATATCCTACTGACCCGAAGAAAGAGGTCTGAAGTCTCAACAAAGGCAACCAAGGTGTGCAGACTGAAAGCTGTGCAACATCATACCAAAGATAATGATTTAATTTTTTTTTCACAGAATTCATAAGGTATCTAGAACAGAATAAGTCTGTGGAAAGAAACTAATACATACACAACTCATTTTACACTCTAATAATTTCAGCAAGCTTTACAGAAAATAGGGAAGACCACTGAAGAATTCAGTGACTATGAAGAAAGTACAGCATACTTCATTTTTCTTGCCAAACTTTGCTTTATTATCAAGAAAAAAAAAATTACTGCTGGTCCTTAGATTTTTTCCCCTATTATATTACTTTTCTGATATAATCATTACTTTCTCCTGGAAAGCTGTCAAAGGTGCTGGCATTGAAAATGGTGCTCCTTCTTGTAATATCTGACAACCTCGAGGGCAGCCCTTAACATTACAGAGCAGTTCTGTCATGCAATAAAGCTGTACAAGCACAGCCTACGGGACCAAGCACTGGAAAGGGAATGCAAAATCCAGCACCCTTCTGGCTCAGAGATAGCAACAATATTAGCTTAGTTTTTATGACACTGACAACATATTTAGTCTGGTCATATTTTAAAGAATAACAAAATCACATACTTTGCTGGGACATACACCAACAATCTAATAATTACACTACTCAACACTAATATCAATGCTTTTCAGGGTGGTCCAGCATATTCCAAGAGCTGGGGCTGGGTGCCAATTTTGGCAACTGCCTTCACTTTTTTCTCTCTCTTCCCCTCCCTCTGCCTCCACTGGGTAATGTGGATGCATCAGCTCACAGATCAAAGCATCTGGCCATCTGCAGACATAAAAGAAGGTGTTTGTCCATTTTGCTTCATGTGCTGGGAACCATTTGCCAATGTCAGAAATCACATTCCCTCCTTGTAAGTGTATAGGATGGTAAAGATTTCAAGTGCACAACTGTATAAAGGCATAGTAGTTGGCTAGTGTCTTCATCTTAAACATTTCCCTAATAACTTTCCCCTTTTCCTTTGAAGTGACAGCAGAAGAACTGGAGTATGGTCAGACATGTTTGTTTTTATGCTGAGTTTCCTGAGCACATTTGGGCATTGGTTTGGGTTATTTGGGGAGTGGAGGTTGGTGATTTTGGGGTAGGTTTTTTTGGTTTGTTGGGGGGTTTTTATGAAAAAGATGGACTGAGATACAACTTTACTTCATTTGATAGCCAAAACTACAGCTGCAAACTCCTCATTAACACCACTCTGGGATAGAGATTCATTTCTGTCTCTGCTAAGAGCTTGCCACCTAATGAATTATAAAGTGTCCTGCAGCAAACCAGTGGACCTTTGAGGTCACTCATTCTGCTGCTAACCTGGCCAGGCCCTGCTTAACATAACAGCTAAAAGCAACCAGTATGTGGACTGACCTGTGAGCAGGTTAGAGCAAAACTCTGGAAGCGGCATATAGGCACCATTGGTGAACACAGAACATTACCCTTTTTTAAACTGAAAGGAGAAACTTGGAGCAAAAGTCAAAGGCATCCCAGGAAGAACTAGAAAGAAGCTGCTTTAATAGAGATGTTGTCCAAGGAGAAAGGCATATGAGGCAGTTACACCTGTATCTAACACAGCCTAAACAAATAGGAGTGGCTACCCAGCAATTGCCTCGAGCTGAAGAAAACCAAAATCAAAACCCAGTATTCCTGACAGATAATCCTCCATAAATTAATGACTGCAGATACCAGGATATTTCTGTACTTTCAGAAAAAACATGCTAATCACTTTTGCATGATACAAATGAAGATTATGAAATCTGAAAGACTGGAAGGAAAATACTACACCACAGAACTCTAGGGTACTGGGCTGTGACTGAGACAGGGTGAACA